TTACCTTACATTACGTTCCCTTACCTTACATTACATTACCTTATATTACATTCAACTACCACAGACCCATCTTAAGCGTAATTAATTCAAGTTAAATAATCAAAGTCATGATCAAACTTTACTCAATTGTAAATCGGATATAAAGGAAATATTTAGAATAAAGCCAATATATAAACTTCCTTTCCGTATAGACGTATTTACGTCTAATTCTCCGGAACCGTGGTTGCACTGACAACTTTTTTCCAAATTTTCAAAAAATCAGAAAATGATTGAAATTCTTAAAAAAGCGCAGAAAATGAAAAACTAGAAAATTCATCTTGGAAAGACTTTAAGATATTTGGAAAAGTTTGGTACTATGTGAATTTTATACGATTTCCAGCAATTTTGATTTTTCGAAAATTTCAAAAATTTCGAACAATCATTTTCAAAATATGCCTACCGGATGCATACCAGAACCGGACTCTGCCGGACCCTGTTTCTGCCACTCTCGGTCTTTGGAGAAACGGCCTAGCAGAGATCGGTTGATTCACAGACCAGTACATGCCGATATCCAGTCTGCCAATGACAGGGTCCGTCAGAGGCCGGGTCCAACTTATTAAGGGTATGGTTGAGAGCGCCTTCTGTTAGAAACCGGTCAGAGAGAGACCGGGTGTCACAAACCGTGTCCGGCTTGGACCCGGTGTGGCAGAAACCCGGTCACGCCTAGACATTGTCCAGCAGATACCGTGATCGGAGAGTTTTTTAAAAAATCGAAAAGTCAAGAAACGTAGGAAAATCTTCAAAAACGCACAAAACTAAAGTTATTTAAATAAATCAACTACAAATATTTTTTGAAAATTTGTCAATTATTTTCGTTTTTATGACTTTTCCCAATATTTTGAAAATTTTGAAATAAATTAAAATTTTGAAATTCGATCCACCAGTCACTCTCACCGGCAGAAGCCTTGTCCGACAGACCGCGTCGGGCAGAGACCGAAATCAGCAGACACCGTGTCAGAGAGAGACCGGTTCCGACAGAGAAAGTGTCCAGCTCAGACCGGGAATGTTAGAGCCCAGGTCTGGCAGCCACGTGGTCAGAGAGAGACCGCGTCTGGCTTAGACCCGGTGAGGTAGAGACCGTGTCCAGCAGAAGACCGGTCAATCAGAGACATGGTTTAGCAGATACCGTGATCT